TTTGGTGGCAACTATTTGAAAAGTGATTTGCAGTTTATAGTTTTTAACGCAAAATGGCAAAATGAAATTAATAGTCCTTTAGGGCAAATTGCCCCTTTGGACTATTAAAGAATGAATGATACTATTAAAATGAAAGCAGGAATACCTTTTGTTATTTTAATGTAATTTTTTATTTGCCATACATCTGATTGATTTTTTTTTTTTCCCAAGGAGCCTGTATTATGTGAACCACAAACTAGTGCAACGTCTGTTGAATATTCTCCATGCAAGCAACAGCTGAAGCGAAAGCTGCATAAAGCTGAAGATTTAAATAGTGTCTACAAAAAGAAAATTAAGCTATTGCAACAAACTGCACGTAGACAGAAAAGGACTATCTGCAATTTGAAAGCTGTATTAAAAGATTTAAAAATGAGCAGGATAATAAATAATGATTATCTGGGCATTTTAAGGAAATCAATTCCTGTTAATGAAGAACTTCTTTTACGGGAATTAGCAACGTGTGGGAAAGGCCAGTTACCAAAACATTACAGTAAAGAATTAAAGGCTTTTGCTTTAACTCTTCATTTTTATTCACCTAAAGCATACAAATATGTTAGAAAAACATTCAATTCATGTTTGCCACATACCAAGACTCTAGCAAACTGGTACAAATCTATAAATGCAGCACCTGGTTTTACAACTGAATCTTTGAATGCATTAGATAATAAACTTAAGAGTACTTCATACCAATTGCTTTTTTCATTGACCATTGATGAAATGGCCATACGTAAACATGTTGAATTTGATGGCCAAATTTATCATGGATACGTTAATATACAGGTATACAGAATGATGATGATGATTCCCTTCCACTAGCTAGAGAGGCATTAGTGTTTATGCTAGTGTGTATCAATGGTAACTTTAAAATCCCAGTTGGATATTTTTTAATTGATGGCATTAGTAGTGAAACTAAAGCAAACCTTGTGCTTCAGTGTTTAACTGTATTACACAATGTTAACATAAAAGTTGTATCATTAACATGTGATGGTTTATCTTCGAATTTGAATATGCTAAAACATTTAGGTTTGCAGATTTGACAGTTCAGATTTCAATACTATATTTAAGCATCCTGTATTAACGGGGATGATATTGTAGCTTTTTTAGATCCTTGCCATATGCTCAAATTAGTCCGCAATACCTTAAGGGAGATAAAAAATGCATTGTTGATGAAAATGAAGGCCTTATTGACTGGAAATATATTACAGCATTACAGAATTACAAGAGACAGAAGGACTTCATCTAGGTAACAAACTGAAAAAGCAACATATGTCAGATTCTTTCGGCAAAAAATGAAAGTTTCTCTTGCAGCGCAGCTTTTTAGCAAATCTGTTGCTGATGCCATTCAGTTTTGTGCTGAGGTTTTAGATTTAGATACATTGCAAAATTCAACAGCAACAGTTGAATTTTGCTTAAAAAATTAATGATTTATTTTGACATTCTCAATTCAAGAAATTTAAAGCAGACAGGATTTTAAAAAAGCTGTGAGTATACATAACAGCAGTTTTATTCTCAAAAGCTCTTAATGACTTGGAAAGGTATTTAAGCAACTTGAAAATTAGTGTAAATGGAATGAAAGTTACTGAATCTAATAGAAAAACTGGCTTTCTAGGTTTTTTGGTATGTATTAAGAGTTATAAAATATTAATACAAAAGCTGGTAACTTCAAATCAACCCTTATTAATATACTTACCATCATATAAATTTAGCCAAGATCACATTGAAATGTTTTTCCAAATGATTCGTATGCAGGGAGGATGCAATAATAACCCTACTTCATATCAATTTAAAACTGCATATAAAAGACTACTCGCACAAACTCAAATAAGTGATTTTATCAATGGCAATTGCAGTCCACAAGAAAATATAAGCATTCTGACTGCAACCAGTATGACTGCATCTGAGAAAATAATAAATATGACAACTGACAGGTTAAGAGCTATGGATGAAACAACAAATGTGTCTTGGGATACTGTCAATTCAGATCATGATTACGTGTTTAATCCAGGAATATTAACCAGGTGTTCAGAGCATATTGTTTATTACATAGCTGGTTGTTGTTAGGAAATTATCTTTAAATATTAAATGTGAAATGTGTTTAAATACACTTACATCAAAAAAACCTGTTTTACAGGATTCGCTTGTATCATTTAAAAGCAGGGCAAATTAATTCATGCATCCCATGATGTGTACTTAATATGTAAAAAAAAATCTGTTTTTCGTTCCTTTAATAGTATTTTCAGTAAGCATGATTCAATAAAAACACCTACAATTTTGACCGCGACGATTCAAGTTTTGAATGCCCTAAAGGGTAATGATTTATTTCCTGTACTAAATGGCCATATGCACGATATGTCTCCACTCGACAATCATGTAGTCCATTTAGTAAAGGCAATAATAGAAAATTATTTGCGTGTTAGGTATATATATTGGGGGGAAAATAAAATAAATGCTGTCGAATCTGTTTGACAGATGTACACAAAAGCTGTTTTATTCAAAGGGCAGTAGAAAAAATAATTACAATGTGATATACACTCTTTTGCAAAAACATAATTTTTGGAAACAATTTTGCCTCTGTTTTGGGATATATATGCTGAAATACCTCCCATTGGATATAAAGCAGAAAGGTATTAAATTATATGTTTCATAGTTATTTATTTCTGAGTACAATGTACATCTCAAAATATGTTGAAATACTTGTCAATGTTGTATGTCATATTTAAACCATTTGCTTATTACATTTAGAAATTAAATTTGGTACTTTTCCGTTTTGGCCAGTGCAAATCTCGCCAAGCAGACTTTGTTGGCAACAACATACACATACACAAATAAGAAAAAAATTAACGAATGTTAGTTCTAAGAATTTTTTTATTTTAAAAGCATAAACATTTTAATATATTGTTTAAAATTTTGTAAGAAAAACAATAAATAAAGGCAATAAATTTGTAAAAAGACATTAATTTAAGAATTTACTATGCTTTCATGGTTCAACATCCTGATTCGCCGGTTCATATCATTTGACCCCAAGTGATCTTATCTCACGTAAACTATGTTACAAAATTCTAATTCTCTCAGTAAATATCTACATTAATTTCAGGTTGAATCTTCATTTGGAATATAAGTTTAAATGCAAGAATTATTTCAATTCGTATGGATAGCTCACTTGGAAATTATGTAAACCCGCAGTGCTTTACTTCGCTAGTGCATTCTCATTAGAATTAATGAATTTAAAACCCTTGACTTTGCCTTTTGTACATTTTCCCCTTCGGTGAGTAGTGTGATTGCATCCTAATTGACTTAATTACCACGAATGGCCTTAGGGCAATAAAATTGAACTAGCTGGTAAAAATTCTATGTAGTTGTATGCTAGTATTGAAGGAAACAATCAATCTGATAAGAAATGGCTGCGACTTGTTTTGAAAATTGAGGCGTAAAAGGTTACCAGCAAGTATATTAAGTTTGGCATCGGTTTTGTACCATTTTTTGGCAAATTTATTGCCTGCGCCGGCAAAAATTAAAAAGTACCTTAAATTTTGCATGTATGTAAGGTTTAGTAAATAACCTGAAGTTAAAAAAAATACTTGGTTGCATGTTTCTAGAAATGATTAATATATATATATAAATGAATATTTTATTATACTTATCTACTGTTTTATGAAGAAGAAAGTGTTGTAAATTAATAAAAGGAATTTGCTTGTAATTTTGTATGTAAACTTCTCAATTTTCTTTAAAACATCATTTTTTTCATTTAATTGCCAAGGATAGAATTGAATATAATTTATTTTTTATAAACATCTTTAATACCTTTGTAATCTATTAGGAACAGCTGTACTGTGGTATTGTGATGATTTTAATAAAAATTGGCAAAACTTTTTTCACTGCTGAATTTTTTTATTCAATATCAGACAAAGACATTTTTCCCATTATGCGTAGAAATTTTCTGATCAGGAAAGCATTACAAATAAGTTAGAATAGAATTTAAATAAGCTTGTAATTTTTTTAACTTGGAGATGCACTGAGCTGAGCAACCATGTAAATCCATCGTCCCTTAATGAACTGTCACTTTTGACATGTATTATGCAAATCTATTTGCTGTTTGTTTTTATCTCTATTTGTTCAGCATTTTAGATTTTCTGATTCCATGAAGTTATTTCCTTTAACCGTAGCTTAATCAAAAATTAACACTTTTCTCAGGTTTCCACAAAAACAGTCTTCCCTTCCCCTAAAATATTTCTAAAAATTGATAAAAGTCAAATGTGTTTTCTAATTGAAATTAAGAATTATTTAAATTTTTAAACTATGCCAATAAGTGCTTGAAAAAAATGAAATACTATTTGCATCAAGTATCAGTCTCCTGAAATTAGCTATTACAACTGCTATAGCCAATAAATAATATGTGAATTTCTGTTTTAATGTATTACTAATAAAGCTGAAGTATTTAAGCATAGTAAAATAAATAACTTTCTTTTCCTATACCTTAAACTTTGTATATGAAGGATTCTTTAATAAATTATGATAATATTGTGAATAAATCAGAAATATCACTTTTTTTAAAAAAATTGGGAAGTACAATCCAACAGGTTGCTAATGAAACCTAAGCAATCCGTGAAATATGCAGAACAATCATTTTTTAAAGGCTTTAATGTTATGCGCATGCATTTAGATTTCGAACTATTTCTTAATAATTTGCTGCACATAGTAAATTATGGATATCATCTTTCTTACTTTAAAACAAAAATTCAACAATAGCGAGGCATTTCATTATTAATTTAACATATTTTTACTGGAAAATACATGCACGGAACAGCTTAGAAACACGTACATGTCATTGACGTAATGCAATGTTTTGAACTCACAAACATGGACGCCGCTTGTTCGGCGGAGGTTTCATTCCCCGGATAGTGGAGGAAACGGCGAACCCTCCCTCCTTCTATTCTAACCTCCTTGTTCCCAACCATCTTCACTGTCAAGCAGCAAGGAAATGGAAGTAGCCAACATGAATGGCATTTAAATGTCAGCTGTAAAGCAACTCAACTCATTGTTTACATTAGTAACCTAAAAACGTGTTTGCGGATTTTCTGAAATTCAATAGATCTGTCCAAAGAAATCATCATTAACATAACTCCAAAATGGAACTTGATATTTGGCAGGGGGACTGGGGTCTTCCGTCTGTAGATCTCACATGTCTCCAAGTGATGGTACTTTTATTTTTTAACTGATAATATCTCGCAAAACATTTTGAAGTTACTCTCATAATTATTGTAAACAGTACATTTTTACATTATTAATGAGCTTAGTCATAAATTATCAATATCAGCCTATATATTAGAAGTCTAGGCATATTTGATTAAAATTTATTCTTATTTTCTTTCTCAAAATATGTTGTTATGTTGCAAGAAATTTTTCAGACTGTTGCTTGAAACTTGATATTTGATCAACTACGTATGTTTCAACAGAGTACTTCCTGATGTATCTATATTTTAACAAAGTATTCCCTTAATTATGAAAGTCAATATTTCGCCTACATCTTAGAAAAATGTTTGTTATTACTGATGTAAAAAACAAGTAAAAATATTTGTAGATTCAGATGCAATTGATGAGTTAAGTTGTTACTTTTTTGTTAAAGTCTCCAGTAAATTTAATTTCCGAGTCTGTAATATGCAAATTTCAGATGGGGGAGCAAGGCTTTGCTGTGGTTGCTTTTGAGAAAATTTTTTGAAGTAGATATAAATTTTTATGAAACTAGGTTAATATACACCAGTAAGTGAGAGTGCAGTTTAAGAAATGCTGATAAGTTCAACAGGAAAACCACCTGATTGAAGACTATCACATTCACCAAAATAGAAAAATTTATTTATTCAATTAATAAACTCTCATAAAATTTATAATTGTGGATTAATTAGACGCATGAAATAAAGAAAACATTTCTGCATGTAATATATTGGTACTGATTTTTTCCCTTTGAAATAAGAAAAGATGTGTAGATTTTTAAGTTTTATATAATACTCTAGAATTTATATCTTTATGTTTTGCAAAATATTACACCTGTTGAAAGAATATTTTCTATTATATACAGTATTTAGTCAAAGCAAAATCTAAATTATTCATTAAAAAGATAAACGTTATGTTTGTAATGAACCAAAATTATGTCATGAAATGTTTAAAGTTTCTGAAAATTATGGGTTAATCTTTAAATTATGGTAACTTGGCGATTGTTTGGCAAAAAGTTGGCGACCAACCTTACTACAGCAACCTGCTAGTTTTTGTTTGGACGCCATTTTGTTTTCACAAAGTAAAGGCTTTTTTTTTTTTTTTTTTTTTACTCACATTTTTTCCAACAATCTAAGCCGAATTACGCTATGCTAGAACCTTTTATGGACAAAAGTGCTTAATCTGACGAAGATTAACTGCGAAATTGGAGAAAGGCAGATCGTAAACTGCTTGCCACGTTTTTAAGAATTGCACATGCACGATATCATCCATGACGTTGACCTATTTTCACTTAAAAAACCCCAGAATTGCACAAAAAGGCATTGCGCACACTTTGACTTATTTTATGGTACACTGCTAATCCTATAACCTTTATCGCCTTACCAATTCGCCAAACATACCTGTTCCATATTCCAAAGATTAGCCAATTAGTCTACCGTAAAGGATACAACTTTTTATGTTTCTATTACTGAAAAAATGATATACTGAAGTTTTTTAGGTACTTTCCATTTTGCCGGGCAGGACAAAATCGATAGAGTACCAAAAGTGCCAAACAAGATCCCTCCTGTAACCTTTTTATGCCTCATTTTTAACAAGTCACAGCCATTTCTTATCAATTGATTTATTCTTTCAATCTGGCATACAATACTAAATTTTACCAGTAGTTAATTTGATGCCTTAGACCATTCGCGTAATTAATAATTAATGTATCACCCATAACCGGAAGCGAAAAATTGAAAGGCAAAATCAAGGGTTAAATTCATCATCTAATGAGAATGCACTTGAAGTAAGCACGCTGTTTTACATAATTTCAGTAACTATTCGTACAAATTGAAATAGTTCTGGCACCTAAACTTGTATTCTAAATTAAGATTTAACTTGAAATTAATGTAGATAATTACTGAGAAAATTAGCTTTTTGTATCATAGTTTACGTAGTTCACTTGAAGTCGCGTGATATGAAACGGGGAATCAGGATGTTGTACCATGAAAGCATAATGAATTCTTAAATAAATGTCTTTATACAAATTTATTGTCTTTATTTATAGTCTTTTTACAAAATTTTAAATGATTTTGAAATGTTTATGCCTTTAAAATTAAAATTCCTTAGAATTAATATTTTTTATGTGTATACTATGTGTTGTCACCAATAAAGTCTGCTTGGCGAGATTTGCGTCGGCGAAATGGAAAAATACCTTTTTATATTATATATATGTATATTGCTCTAACTATGTCTTCTTTGTGCTAGTTCAATATCCCATTTTTGTGTTATAAAAACACAGCCTAATGGTAATTAATATGTAACATTTTATAAACCCTTTGCACTCGATTCCTTTTTCACTTGGGAGGACCAGCAACTCGAGATGATTTTCTGTATACAGTCAAAAGTTGTTAATTCGGACACCCATAATCCGGAATGATCTATAATCCGGAACTCAAAGCTAAAATCTTTCTGCGCATGCGCGCATACGCATGCGCAATTTTACGCGCGCAATTTACGTTGCGCACGCAGAACGTTCGCGCCGTAATGTGCACGACATATAAGCTAAATTATCTAATTATCTATTTCAGTTAATGTTGATTGCGTTGTTCCTTAATCTTCGAATTGGATCCGGCTTATTATTTTTTTGCAGACTGTTAGAGCAATTTTATAAAAGTAAGCTTGAACTTTCGATTATGTCAAAAAGAATTTCCGATTCTGGAGCTGCCAAAGGATCTACAAAGCGAAAGCATGTTTCGATGTCCATCAAACAAAAAGTGGAATTGCTGCAAAAAATGGATAAAGGCATATCCTTTGTTTCTCTAACCATTCCGAAATCTGTTTATCAATTTCACGCTGCTCTGCGCGGGGGGGGGGACGTCGCGGCGCGCAATGAACTGGAAGTTGATCTGTCAGCACTATCCTTATCTTCAGGGCAGATGTTTTTATTTTATTCGGCTTATAATTCCTTACTAAATGTAGTATTTCATCTCGATGTACTCCGTCTTGATATGATTTAAATCAAATTCCTCGTCATTATAAATATCACGAATACACATCAAATAGTTTTCTGGTTGCAATTTTCTAATTTTGTCTATGCGTAATGAATGCTTTATGCATGCACGGCATTGAAAGAAATGTTTAATAAAGTAAACAAATAAATATTAAGCTTCTTTTTTTTTTGTAAATTTTGATACCCTTTAGATCATAATTGCTCATTATTTTATAAATTACGGTTTCATATTTTTAGTTTTATAATTTCTGCATGCCATCTTACCAGATTTAAGTTGATGATCTATAATCCGGAAAAATCGATAATCCGGAATCGCCGAAGTCCCGTCGAGTCCGGATTAAAGACTTTTGACTGTATTTGATGAATTTCTTACAGCTGACTTAAAATGATTTCACATAAAACTTCCAGAAATCTAATGGTTCTTTTACGTCTGATGATATTTATGGTCTGCAGCTCTTTTGCCACATACAAATGATATTCTTTGCAGTGACGTTCATTATCTGTTACCTTAATTTTTACTTCCTTGTGAAGGAAGTATTGTAATTATGAAAAATTCTGGGTACCATATTTAAATGAAAACATCCATTTTGACTGCCATTGAATGTAATTTATTAATGTTTTTGCATGATATCTGGTAATAAGGACAGAATAAAGGACTCTTTTTTCTCCAAACAAATTATGAAACTGATTTAAAATGGATTTAGAAGAGATTTTTTTCGTGCTGTCTGTACATACATACTTATGTCTGTATCTTGCATAATTCAAAAATGAGTAGCCTCAGAACATTGAAATTTTGTATATAGGACTATTATAGCATGTAGATGTGCACCTCCCTTTTTGGTGGCAATCGCCTGCACCCCCTAAATTCATCTGTTCTCCCAAATTAGAGATCTTTCTATGTTATGTAACGCTACTGGAAAAGAGCAACTTAAACTAATATTAACCAATCACAGACTACCTCTACCTATACCTCAGATTTAGTATAAATACCATGGCGATTTATTTGCATCATTCTTCTTCGCTTCCCTAACTGCTGCTCTATCAACATCGCATCACTTTACCTTTGCTTACCTGCCTTCGTCATTTCTTGTTAAAAAGCAGTGTACATAGAAATTTATCATATTTAATTATGATTGAATAAGTGTCTGTCCAAGTAATTTGGATATATGTGAAAATAAAGACTGGTGATTTGTTAAAATTCAGTTTTCTTGCCTTCATCTGTATGCCTTAACCACAGCCATTACGGACATCAAAAGCTGTTAAGAGTTCCAGTGTTGCAACTGTGCTTCAAAATTATGACATATGTATAATTACAATGCTTTTTTTTTTTTTAAAGCAAAATATAATCTTGCCTAGTATTTTCGCTCTTTAAGCTGCAGAAAACTTATCAGTAAAGACATAAAGTAAGAAATTTAGAACCGGTTTTTCAGAAAGACCAAAAATTGAAATTCATAAGTAATAAATTTAAAAAATCCAATAAATGCAATAAGGAATTTAATTAATGTTAAAACCAAAACTCTCCAAACAAGCGATACCCCATGTAAAAAAAAAATCAATGAAATTTAAAGAAAAAAGAACATAATAGAAGGGAAATTCATTCAACTTCAATGCCACTTCGTCAGATGGAGGAACATTGAAATCAGTTTTCTACAAAAATCCTTGCTTTTTTGTATCCAGAATTGGCTGATGAACAATTTCAATGTATTTTAATTATAATAGTTCACTCGAAAATTCTGGCTGTTCTCCAAAGCAAAGTAAAAAAATAAATTCTAGTTAAGATTTTGTACTTTAAATAAAGAGATTTCAATTCAAAGATTTGAAAATGTAAGAGAAATAATAAAATATTTTAGTGAAGAATTTAAATCAAAATTTACCTTAAGACGAAGAGCATATAATCCAATGAATTTAAAACGTAAGTAAAATTGTAAAACTTTAGTGAATAGACTTAAATAAAAACTTACAAGAAAGAATTAAGGCTTCCCCCCCTTTTTTTTTCCGTAGTATCTATGTTTACATTTGGAACTTAGGAGAATAGTGAATTAAGTCTTTCTGCACCTTCAGTGTCTTTGCAACTGGGACCAAAAGGAAACTTTTAGTTTTGTGCACTGAAAATCTGCCTTCTCGTCTGCTGGCCAAATTGCTTGTTTTTGCGTAGATACTAATTTTAATTGTAAAAATTGCTTTTTTAATTGTATTTGGTGTTTTATGTTTTTCTGTCTTTCAATTTTTATTAAAATATTTTGAGTTTTTATGTATTTTTGCCTTGCTGTGAAGTGAGAACTGAATTAATTGAATGAAAAATATATCTCTAATGAAATTTGAGGAAATAAGTTTAAATGAAATGCTGGAAAAAAGTCTGTATAATTTAATATTCCATACAAAGAAATCGTGGTGTACACATCAGATTTATTACCTTCTTACAACTCTTACTTCACTGCTAACTTCATCACTGCTTTTCTCTTCACTATAATCGAGTAATCTCTGTATAGACGTAATTTTGTTCTTTGTCAATAAAAAATCGAACTGCCCTTCTCTTGAATTGATTCCTTCATCGTACTCCATGCTTATTGGACTCTGCAACTTTGAAAATATTAGCCCTATTGCCATGACTGTTAAGGTTGAACTAATGTCGAAGATGCATATATACAATAAATCTAAGAAATGTGTTTAAAATTGAAGATTGGCAGTTGTTTTATGTGCATGTTTTGTTGAATATACTCATGAAGGGATATTGCATAAACCAAACCTAAATAAACATCACTACAGCTTGAATTATTGCACCGAACCAAGTGGTAATTAAAAGTTACTTCTTGAGTTATGGCATCAAATCAAGTGGTGACCAAGAGTCACCTTTTGAGTGCAAAGGGTTAACTTCCTATTTTAAGGCATATTAAATTTAATTTTCAGTATCATAAAATAATGCATTTATTCAATTTTGGTTATAGGCTTATGCAAAATTTTCTGGAGCACCTGTCAAAATAAAGAAAACCAATTGGCCTTTGCGACATGGTAACATTTAAATTCTTCTAAATATTATGCTTATATGTTAAAAAGGGCATATTTTAGATAGTAATTTTCCTCGTGTGTATTGCACTTAAATCTTGAATTGCATGTCAGTAAAAATGTTTTAGAATTGTATAGCAATAAAAAAAAAATTAAAGAAATGCAGAATGAAAGAAATGTTCTTGTGGTCTTGTGTTTAGTTATAATACAGTAAGACTTAAATATCTGGATCACTGATTATTCTGTTTGAAACAAGTGACAGTAAGCTTATTTTAAAATTATTTACTTTTCTTTTGGCTTTAAGAACTATAAAATAATAAAACAGAACAATTAGTACTTAAGTTATTAATGAACTGAAAGAAAAAAAGGCAAGAACCACATTAGCTGGATCTTTTTAATATCCAGATGAGATTCACTCTTAGTTAATCTGGATATTTATTGTTATTTTACATTATTTATTATACAAAAATATATTTAGCATTTGATTAGTTTTGCTGTTATAAATTCTGAGTAACTGCATTTATGTGCTCCAAAGTAATTTGTTAACTTGCTAGATAACAAACCCCAGAGGAATGCATAATAAGATGAATAATTATCATTGTTGTATTTGAGAATAAGCTGATACTTTTACCTATGTAATTCTTAGTATTCTATAGATTTAATAAGATGGTTGTATACAAACACCGAAAATAAAAAAATTTAAGCAAAAATATTAAATTTGCTCTAGTTATTCTAAAATAGGATTAACAAAGTGACCTTATATGAAAAAAGAAGCTGTGGGAATTTACAATTCAAATGCTTCAAATGACAATCTAACACCTCAAAAAAGAAAATTTAAAAGTGTAAAGTGTAAAGTATCATTAAAAGAATTTATGCTGCTCAAAATTACTGTACACATGGCATTATAAACTTAAAAAGTGATTTAGATCTTTAATTTATTATCCATTTGCCTTTGCATGCAAGCAGTTCTCAACAAGTTGGCATTTGATAACACATAAAATATTTAATTTATACATATTTACTAATATTATTATGTTATTTATTAGCAAACTGCTATGTTATTTATTAGTAAGCTGAGCAATTTAAAAGTAATAAATGCACTTAATAATTCAAATCTTAATATTTTGAATAATATGCCTAATAGATGTAATTTATAATATGCTCAAGTGACTTTTTATTATCATTTAAAGCTTTACTGTAATTAATGTTAAAACCAAAACTCTTTTTTTTTAACAGTTTTAACAGTAAAAAAAAAAGAGTTTTGGTTTTAACATTAATTACAGTAAAGCTTTAAATGATAATAAAAAGTCACTTGAGCATATTATAAATTACATCTATTATCCATATTATTCAAAATATTAAGATTTGAATTATTAAGTGCATTTATTACTTTTAAATTGCTCAGCTTACTAATAAATAACATAGCAGTTTGCTAATAAATAACATAATAATATTAGTAAATATGTATAAATTAAATATATTTTATGTGTTATCAAATGCCAACTTGTTGAGAACTGCTTGCATGCAAAGGCAAATGGATAATAAATTAAAGATCTAAATCATATAGCATATTAAATAACACCAATATTTGTACAAAAATCTAAACTATTTATATTTTTTTGAGCAAAAAAACATTAATAATTTTATTGTAGTAAATAGTAGCAAATCAAGTTGCAAGTGTAGTGAGTTCTCCATCTGAATCATTCTGTTTGTTAATCAGTAATGCATTAATAAAATTTGAAAGGTAAATTGAAAATCTTATTTAAATGACAGTGCACTTTAAGAGGGCACTTGGAATATAAATTAAAGATCTTATGTTTCAAATTCCTTCTATTCTTTGCCAGGACAGAATTTTGTGTATTAAATGGAAACTGTACACATTCAGGGTGCTATAGAAATATTAGTAGAAATATTCATTGTAAAACTTTTTTTCTGGGGCTGTGTTTGTTACTAGCTATATCAATATCAATAGTACTAGGATTTTTCTCAAAAGTAAGATTTAAATAAATTAGCAACTGGTTTCCTGCATTAGTAACTATTTAAGCATAAAATCAGTATTTGTTTATAGGTTTATTTGCAATTTCTCACATTTCAACAGTACATCCTGTCCAATGAAAAAGTTTGCATAGTACTAATAAGAGAAGTAAAAATAAAAGATGTTCATTACAGTTCAAAGTTCGAAATCTGGACGTCCGTTATCTGGAGTGATCTAAAATCTGGACCTCAAAACCACCAACAACGTTTTTCTCGGCTTTAGGCATGCGCATTTGATTCCCTCCTCCATGCATAATAAAACTTCTGGACAGTCTGGATTCTTAATTTCACTTCGACACTAAATAAAATACCTTGTTATTGAAGAAACAATCATTTTGGCATAAATTTGTACAATCAGTAATTTGGCTCCATTGCTGCGTATTTGCTTGGCACACATCTCAAACCGAAACCTTCCACATAGATACATCGTTGATCTGATGCAAACCTGGCAAATCATTATTTATTATACATTCCTTTCATCACTGCATGTTTATCAACACATGACAACTTGATTAATGACTCATGTAGCGATGCCTAAACAATTTTTTTATGTTAGTAATTGAATAACAAAGGAGTGGGGTAACCTTTTATGTTGACATTATGTTTGTCAATGATTACAGATAAGTTAAATGCGTGAAAAAATATTGACGAGGAAAAATGTAACAAAACTTTCTTTCCATATACTAAAAATAGATTTCGTTGATGATACTCATAGGCCAAAAGATTCCATTTAGTCTTATTTGAATTAAGAATAACTCATTTGTTATTCACATAAACCCAGAACCAACACAGAGCTTGTAAGGCGGCACCGGGTCGCAGAATTTATGACCCACAGAGACTGCATCAGGCGGTAAGATATTTAGTGCCAGCCATCAATAAGGCTTAAGTATATGCGGGAATTTATTTATTCAGAACTCTGATAAGCCATAAACATGCACAAGAAATAGACGTAAGTATAATAACAAACTAAACTAATACAATTCAAGCTTAATTATTAATTGTCAAGTTATTAATTGTCTCAGTTCGTGATAGAAGCAAGATAAAATTTAACGGAACAACTTGTAGTTAGTTGCCAAGCTCATGATGCATAGCCAAATATGTATAGTAAACAATAGCTAAATTTGATGATGATAGGCGCTAATTTTAAAGGTTTTCGGATATCGCAAAACAAAGGTGAAATTTTCAATTAACGGATTTTGTAAAGAAATGTGGAGAAGCGGTAATAAATGAAGAAGATATAAAAGGAGTTTTTCATTGTCATGACAATGCTTCTCAATCATCAATCAGTTAATGAATAACGAAATCTGTAGTATGGTTCTAGATCCAGAAAATGCCGCTATCGATAGTGAAGAAAGTGATAGAGAAGTTACTGAAAACGAAAAAAATTTTAATTGACAAGTTAGTCGGAATTCTCGAGACAGCAGTTGCAGGACTTCATCAATGTAACTGAAAAATTATGAGTGTCTACAGAATTAAAGCGAAAATATTAGCACAAAAAAACAAAGCAACTTAAACAACTTACATTGAAAGAAATGTTTAATAAGGTAATCAAATAAATATTAAGCTGTTTTTTGTAAATTTGGATACCCTTTAGATCATAAATACTCAATATTTCATAAATCACAATTTCATATTTTTAATTTTATAATTTCTACGTGCCATCCTACTAGATTTAAACTGATGATCTAATATCTGGAAAAATCCCAAATCTGGAATCGCCGAGGTCTCGACGAATCTAGATTTCGTACTTTGTACTGTATATAATGTCTTTAACACAGGTATTTGTAGCAACCTGTTATTTATATTTAGTTGCACAAAATACATTAATTATCTTATTGTGATAAGTAGAAGCAGATCAACTACAATTGTAGCTAGCATGAGTTCTTTATGTGCAGTCATTGCTTTGTGAAAGCAGATAAAATAAAGGTACAAACTTTCACATTTATCATATTTGAACCTTGGAAATTTATGGTTTTAAATTTGAAGAATACAAGAGGGTAATGTTACAGAAAACTAATTTTAAAATGAAATTATATATAAATTACAAAATTGCTGATCCAGTTTATATGTATGTATTAATGCTTATTCAGCACATGAAACACAATTATTTGATTTAAAAATTGGGGAATTGAGGTTATGTACTAAGTCTTCATTACAGGCTGTGTCTGAAAAGTAAAAATTTAGTCAATCTGTTTATGTATTATCTCTCAATTAAATAAATTAATTAGTTTTTATCTTTATTTTATGTTTTTGATGAATAAATATATTGCTTTTGATTGAATTTGTGTAATTGAGAACTAATATGTGCAATTATTGCTAAATTTGGTGAAAATAAGATTTTTAATGCCTTAGTATATATGTAAAGTTTTCAAATTGAAATTTTTTAACTACCGTAATTTCCGGAAGAAACGCCGCGGCGTGTACGTGTTTAAAACTTAAATTTTCAGCGGGTGTGTGGCGTTTAGGTGCACTAAAAATAAAATATTTCCTACGATGGTCATTGTACATAGTTTGGATGGCCTTGTCATTGTGCATAGACTGGTGCTATTTCCCACACAAAAGACCACTCAGTTGCTTTTTGCGAACGTTATTTGTTTACATTCTTTCCCTTGAACGGACCTACATGCCTTATTCACCCTAAACGAGATCTCAGAACAATAACATTCTTCCCCTTTCAAATCAATATTCTCATCAGTTTGAATAGTCTCTCTTCTCTGCTATTCGATGAATCTTCCAGGACCCATCCTCTCCCCACTCCTGCCTTTTCTGCAATTTTTTTCAAAGGCGGACACGACTCCACCTGCCTCGCAATAACGAACTCTGACGTATTTCCCCTTCAGCATGAATGGATTTTTCTTGGCATTCTGCCAAATACAGATCCCATCAGTTTGAGTACAAGTACTTGTTGGATGGTTTTTAAGTAAGAAGGGAGCGGAAAATTTTTGAAAATGTCTCCAAACGGCACAGAAGCTATACATTTCTTACCTTTAATTTATTTTTGAGTTATGGTTTCATTTCATGCATTTTCTTAACTGGTATGTCATATATCAGGACTTAGGTTGAGTTTTTGCATCTATACAGCCCACGACGATGTCACGCGCAATTTAATCTATTGCGGCGTTTCTGTGTAATTTTAATTTTTTCCCCGCCATTTTTCTCGAGTGCGGCGTTTACGCTGATGCGGCCTTTCTTCCGGAAATTATGGTAGCTCCAAAAAGCTGACGAGAAATAACAAACTGAATAAATGATGATAATTACTACTAACACATTCCATTCTTCTTTTTTTAAAAGAATGTAAACCTTGTACATCAGCCATCTTTCTAACCCAACCATCTCTTTGAAAGTGGCCAGTATTACTGAGAAATAATTAAACAGTACTGAACGTCACGGGTAAGGCATGTTCTCTAACCATATCACTGCAACCACTTCCCCAGAAGATCAAAATTGCATGGAACCATTAGAGTTTCTTTTAAAGAGATTTAAATATGTTCACTGATGGCAAAAAGAAGAACAATTTTTTTTTAATGCAGCTGATGTCTGCTCTGTAATTGTTAACTCAAAGAGAAGACAACCATGATTCCCTTTGTGCAGTATAACTATCCCTTGAGCAGTTTTTTTGGAAACAAATATAACTCATTTTCAAAATACAAGCTGTTTATAAAGTCCCGGACCCATTTTGATGTTTAATAAACTCATAAAATAATAAAGATAGATTAAAATTAATAACATAAATGGTTAGATAGACTCAAAAAGTTTCATGACCCTTGTCAATAAACTTCCACGTGTGCGCCCTTGTCGCACAGAGAATATCAAGTCGATATTCAATTTCACGCCAGGTACCAGCAAGCATGTCGGCATCCACAGAGGCTATTGCAGTTGTAATTCTGGCTTTTAGGTCATCAATGTTCGACACTCCTCCTGTAAACGTTGTCCTTTACAAATCCCCAAAGGAAAAAGTCCATAACATTGCAATAGTTGCCAAAAACAAAAGAGAGAAAAATGCAATTAATAAGCAGACAATATTTAGAAAAGTACAGATATTTAGACTGGAAAAATGAAATTACCTAAAATTAATCACACGCGAGACGATATTTAAAAAAGTAAAGATATTTAAACCTGAAAAGGAAAATATATAAGTTATTCCATTAATAAATGCCATAAGTTTGTGTATACCTTCATTATTTTGTGAGTTATTAAACATTAAAATGGGTCTGGGACTTTATAAACACCCTGTACTTCTTATTCTGTAGATTTGACATCTCAGGACTATTTTCTATTCAGTAAAATAAAAACTTACCATGAAGGACATTCTTTATGGTGCATGTTCTCTATCTTATCTTAATAATAAAGTTATTTCCTTCAAGTCTCAGTTTCTTATGAATTCAATCCAAAGCCTTTATAGGTATGCTTTATGCATGTGGCATTCTTTTCAGTAACTTAATATATAGTATCTGATTTTTTAAATTATTTGATGTAAAATATATTAAATCAGAAATATTATAGAAATACCAAATCATAAAGTACTTTCAAAATAGATTAATATACTGAAATTTATAAATTCAAACTTTTTATAATTTCGCTTAAATCAAGTATTAGTACTTCCCTTAGCTACAATGTTGTACAGTTTGCTTATATCTTTTCCTTTCATTTACAGGACACCTGCCTGTTTTTAGACATGGCAAGAAAAATACTTTTACTACTTATGATAATATAGTATCATATTTACAACGACAGGTATGTATACGTAAGTTTTTTATTTCTGGATTATGTAATGTATATTTATTTGAGTTTCTCTTTTCATTTATTTTTAAACTTTTATTAATTTGAGATTAAATATATTTTTAGAGTTTATAGCTTTTAAATTATTAATTTGTATTATAAAATAAAGCTGTAGAGTAATACAGTCAAAAGTCGTTAATCCGGACTCGTAGGGACTTCGGCGATTCTGAATTATCGATTTTTCCGGATTATAGATCATCAGTTTAATTCTAGTAAGATGGCATGCAGAAATTATAAAATTAAAAATATGAAACCGTAATTTATGAAATAAAGAACAATTATGATCTAAAGGGTATCAAAATTTACAAAAAAAAAGCTTAATATTTATTTGTTTACTTTATTAAACATTTCTTTCAATGTAAGTTGTTTAAGTTGCTTCGTTTTTTATGTCATAATACTTTCTGTTTAATTCTATAAACAGACATAATTTCTTGTTCAGTTACAAAGTTCCGCTGTTCAAGTCCTATAATTGCTGCGTCGAGAATACTGACTAATTTGTGTATCGAAATGTTTTCGTTTTCTTCGCTATTGGAAGCGAATTATAATGACGAGGGATTTGATTTAAATCATATCAAAGACGGAGTACATCGAGATGAAATACTACATTTAGTAAGGAAATATAAGCCAAATAAAATAAAAACATCTGCCCTGAATATAAAGATAGTGCTGACAGATCAACTTCCAGTTCATTGCGCGCCGCGACGCCCCCCCCCCCCCCCCCCGCCCCACACACGCAGAGCAGCGTGAAATTGATAAACAGATTTCGGAATGGTTAGATAAACAAAGGGTATGCCTTTATCCATATTTTGCAGCAATTCCACTTTTTGTTTAATGGACTTTGAAACATACTTTCGCTTTGTAGATCCTTTACATATTAGTAAATATAGATCAGAAATTCTATTTGACATAATTGAAAGTTCAAGCGTACTTTTATAAAATTGCTCTAACAGTCTGCAAAAAATAATAAGCCAGATCCAATTCTAAGATTAAGGAACAACGCAATCTGCAACATTAACTGAATTAGATAATTTTAGCTTAGCTTATACCGTCCGTTATACATTAAGCGCGCATTCGTAAACATATTTTGCGCATGCGCACATGCATATTCGCATCCGTAAAGTACTTTTATAAAACTTTTGTTTATAATTTTAGCTTAGCTTATACCGTCCGTTATACATTAAGCGCGCATTCGTAAACATATTTTGCGCATGCGCACATGCACATTCGCAGCCGTAAAGGTCTTCCGCGTATGCGTCAATGCGCCGCATGCGCAGAAAGTTTGTAGCTTTGAGGTCCGGATTATGGGTGTCCAAATTAACGACTTTTGACTGTATAATGGATACTGCGAACTTTATTGAAGTTAAGGTCTGTTATTTAAAGCCTGTAACCTGCATTTATGGAGGTCTGGAAGATGTGGATATTTGTTAATACATATAATACTTGACACTGCAAAAAGCTTTTATGTATCTGAGTGAAAAGCCAAAGAATTATATTTAATCTTTGATAAATAATATAAACCAACTGTACATTAAAAGACTAAAGTTCAATTAACGTTTTCAGGACTTATCAATGTATCTAAATTCATGTATGTTAATCCTTTGTTAATCGTCAAAAACTTCAGTCACCATTGTCTTGATATACACAGTATCTCATGACACTAGTCGGTGGGAACTCACATTTGTTTTTCCTGGAGTTCCTTTTTAAACACAGTTATTTTCAACTATACTGTAGAAGACTGAAGGTTAATTTTTTTAACTATGTACCACATTCTTTAATGGAATATTTGTGACTGCATACTTGCAACATCTGTAAAATCCACTCAGGTTATAAATGATGAATATTTTGTAATTTTTTTAGCACTGTAAACTGCTATTGAAATCACCTTTGACTGTTTCCTTGTCTGACATTGCCAATCTAATGGAGAATTTTTAATTACTTTCAAAATTTGAGTTACTTATGGAATATTAAAATACAATTTTTATCTAAATACACTTCATTAGTTAATGAAAAATGATCTGACTTTTATTTTTATGTTACTATTTCAGTGATTAATTCCTACCAAGATGTGTAAAATGAAAAAATTATGATGACAAGCAATATTCTGCTTAATTATGCTGAAAATTTATATATATATATATAAACATTGTTTAATTGCTGTAACTATTCATCATTTAATTACTTTTCAGATGTTAGTCTGATTGATACTATTCCATTTTGAGGACCGTAACAAAATTGCAGCGAAAATGTATGCGCGAAAGCGCCAAATCTAGCAAATGCGCCCATTTAACAGCATGCCAAATCTAGTGTATGCGCTGATTTCAAATTTCTTAAGTTTATATAGTTCTATATTTCTTAAGACGCCATTGAAATACTAGTTTAATTTTTAAATCCTTTTTTGATTTTAAATTCTTTTTTGATATCCTATGGATTTAACAATTAGGGAATTGCCCATGATGAAAGAATTTTGGGTAAACTTCAGAATCACTCACAGCTTGACGCATTTTTAAGAATTGCACATACTCGGTATCCATGTACACATTGACCTATTTTCACTTCAAAAAAAAATTCTAGAATTGCACAAAAATGGCACTGTGCACACCCTTGACTTTATCTATGTGCACATCGACCTATTTTCACTTAAAAAGTGAAAGAAAATTGACAAAATTCCAATTGTTTTTACCCTTGTAAACAGCAGTAAACAAATAAGTGGGTGATTCTGCACTTTACCGAGAATTTTTTTAAAGAAAAGGCATCATTCATTATAAAAAATTATGTTTGAACACCTAACGAGATGAAAGTATGCTTTAGCGATAACTTGGTTGCGGAATAGTGGTGCAGGCATCCATTCAATTATGTTTAACAATTTTTATATAAATTCTAATAATGATCTGAAATATTTATTTACTCTTTTGCTTCCATTCAGTCATGTTTAGCCTTTTTTATGTAAATTGTAATAATAAAAAAGTATTATATGAAATTAACCTTTCATCAAAATTGAAACATCAATCTTAGATAGTTATTTATTATTATACTTCCTTTCTTGCATTAGGGTTGCCGCAATTATTTTTTGTAGCACTGGCATCAACAAAAGTTTGGCGATTTTTTTACAGCCCTCAAAACCGAATAGTACCGTCTGATTTATAATACAAAGAACAATGAATTACTTCCATGAACAATGTTTTTGTAAACAGCTTCACCAAGCAAAAGTCTACTTTGCAACTAGAGGCTCATTCATGTCCAATACAACAGAAATGAAGAAATCATTTAGGGAAGCTGAACTTGGTTTTGGACTTAGTAACACATGCTCTGAATATGAATTAGCCTTGCTTCTGAACATGAAAGGCTTATGTACATTGTGAAACTTACTGTAATCTTTATTAAGTATTAGAAGTCCATACTGTATTTAATGAAATTGTGTTCCAAGTAGAGCACACAGTTGTGGTCTTACTGATTTTGTTGAATTTCTGAATAATTTTAGAAGCTCTTGGAGTAGGTATGTGTGTGAAGAGAGATCATATTTTATATTAATGGGTAACATGCTGTTATAATTTCAATAATATATCCAGATATAAAACTAGCTCAAAGTGGTTATTCGTGTTATTTTTAATTAAATACATTGTTAATTCCTATACTTTTTCATTACATTCATTCATATCATACATTTTCATATTGCCAAATAACTTATATGACAAAACTATTTAGTTTTATTTTATCAGTTTTCTCCCCCTTTATCTAAAATTTCTTTTGGAATTCTTTTTCCCCTTGATTCCTGTTGTTTTTAATCGTGAAACCTTTTTCAATAAAAGAGAAACATGAAATTTAAATAAAATATTCAAGACTGAGTAATAATGATTAGTAAATATTATGCTAAAAATAATTATATAAGACTAAACAGCAGGCATAAAATTAAAAATGGCATTAGTAGCAAGTATAAAAATAAAAAGGCAGCAATATAAAAATAAAGCAGAAAGCATTTCTCCTTTGGAATGCATGCAGTGCTACCAGAATTAAAAGGATAAGAATGATTTACTTTGAAATATTCCAAATCCCAGGTAATAAAGTTCATTGCAGAGAAAATAATAATAAAAAAAATTTTTCAAGGAATCCTTCTTCTTCTTCTTCCCCCCCCCCTGTTATTCTTTCTAATGTATACAGTATACAGTGATGTCTTCTCTCTTAAAAAGTCAGAATTGCACAAACTTGGTTCTGTTTGACTTCTACATTGTGCACAGTTGAAAACAGACACACTTTTGGGTGAAATCATCGGTTGCCACATAATTATTTTGGCAACACATTGCTTTGCTTCATGAATGCTTTTTGGCAGCATACTGCTTTCTTCGTGAATAATTTTTTATTACTTTTCTTGGCGCGGGGTGTGGGGGGGGAGAATGCAAATAATCGGAAAGCACCAAAACTACTATGATAGAAGAAGTATGTTTGCACAAGCAGTAGTCATACAGACAATTATTGTTATGAAAAAAATTAAACTGATGCTTAGCCCTAAGGAAATTGACACACCTATGCACAAAAGAAGGAAAAAAAAAGGATTTTGCTTTTTCAGATATCATATTTGAGATCTATTTATGTATAGTTTGGATAAAATGATAGAAAAAATTATTTTATCTGTTTTGTACATAAGTAGATCTAAAAGTTTCTGGCCTTATGTGTTAAAAAAAAATGGTTGTCAATCTGGTCATGAATGGCTGTACTAAATGTATAAATTTTAAAGTTTCATTAGGGAAATTATGTGCATTCTTTTTGATTGTTTACGAAATAAATGTGCTAGTTTGTTCTGAAACATTTAAAACTGATTATCATTCTGTGATTAAATTTTTGACTCAAGATTTTAATCCTGCGTCATGGATATGGAAATCATCTCCAACCTATTCTAGAATAAAAGAATGGGTAAAACAATTTTATGTGACCCAAGAGTCCACAGAAGGTGATTGTCGTGGAGCTTAAATTTTGGAGGCATTGACATCAGAAAATATTGCTCATATTCAGGCAGAAATACTGAGTGATAGGAATTTAAAAACTATGGAGACAGCAGCCAGATTGAATCTATTTAAAACAACTGTTTTGCATTTCTGCATAACACATTTGCATTAGCAAAATCTTTGCAAAATGGATATCCTGACTTCTTTCAGCACTTCAAAAATACCTGTGTGGGTGTAAGGGCCTTGACCACTTTCCTTACAAACTAAATTTAGCTGCAAGTTATTATTTATTTTCGGAGCTAAAATCTGGCATTTGTGGAAGAGATTAAATGATGGTGGCATGAACAGAGCAATTATAGAACATTATGAAAACAGGTCACCAAATTACTTTTTGAGGGGTACTAAACAATGTAAAAAAAAGTATTAAGCTAAAAGAAGATTTTATCAAAAGATAAGCCATTTAAATTTTCCAAATAGTTTGAATTGAAACATAGTTATTTTGTATATGTAATTGTTTTAAAATATGTTTTGAAGTTTTTTTGTTGAAACTTTTGTAATGTGGTTTTTTAGTAAAAATAGAATTGTGCAAAATTAGAAACTTTAATCTATCATCGTTTGTAAATCAGGGATTGCTTTTAAACATCTGGCTGCATTTTATTTAATAGCTTCCTTAAATATTTTTTCTAGATTGTTAAGATTATTATATTTAATATTTACTTTAATCACATGTTATATGAATCCAGACCCTCAGTATGAGTCAAAATTGCAATTTGAAGAACAAAGTGCTAAATTTAATCCAAAATCCATTTTCACATGTAAATATAAATTTTAAATTAAGTGAAACTGTGTAATGTATAATGAATGAAAATTTTAGAGCTTCTAAAAACCAAAGCAGGAAATAATAGTATAAACTTGTCAACTAAATAGAAATATATCATTTAGAATGAAATTTGTCAGAATATATAAGTTACAGTTTGAATGCAGCACTTTTTCCCTTCAATTCTAATTTTTTTTTTTTTTTATTTTTAAGTTATTACTAGTAGTACTTGTAACTTTCTTCAGTATTTGTCTTCTGTGCAGCCTTGGTGAGAAATAAACAGTTACCAATCTGTGCAGGTGTGGGAAACAAATGTTCATAGTTGCTGACTTGTGTGTATGCCTTTCTTCTGCTTACGGAGCATAAAATCTTTGTGCTCTATGAGCAGAAGTAGTAGTATTAGCATAAAATCTTTATACTTCATAACTAGTAGAAGTAGTAAAAGTGAGGTTCTATCAACAGTAGAATCTTGCTTCTACTGTTGCTTTTAAAATATAACAGTTTTTCAATGTATGTTCATAATTAACTTTTCTTCAGATAGTGAAAATTTTAGCTTTTAAAATATAACAGTTTTTCATTGCAAATATTTATTATACTTTTTATTTTCAACCAACTATGGAATGAAAAAGATGCTTAGTTTTTCCCTTGAGAAAAATGTAAACCAAGCAAAAAAATTAATGAAAAGGGGCATAATATGCAATTAAATATGTTGGAAAGGAAACTCTGCATCCATGCAGTGTTCAGGTATCAAATCAGCTATAGTATGTTTAAGGTATTATTAACAGCAGTTATTGAACTGCAGCCATTAGAAAGACTGTGTAAAAAATGAATTTTCTAGTATGTTTGTGTATGTTATTTTTTTTTTTTTTTATTAAATTGCTGACATGAGTATTAAATAAAATGATAAGTAGAAGTGTACAAATTATTTAATTAAATGGTATAATAAATGCAAAGTTTACAATTTATTTAATTAAATGGTATAATAAATACAAATTTATATCATATTCCTTCTGTATATAAAATTAAATAAGTTACGTTGTGTAGATATTGAATGAATTAGCATTTGCATTAGACAGTTTCATTTTCATGTTTGCTAATATTTGGCAACAAATCTTACTTTCTTAACCCCAGTTGCACCAACTCTTGCCAAAGCCGTTACAAAAGGCAAGTATTCTTTCTTTTAATACCACTGTTTTTAATATTTTCATTTTATTTTAGAATTACAATGCTGATGAAGAATTAACTCCAAAACAGTGTTCTGACATAATAGCATATACAGCATTGCTTCGTGACAAGCTTTACCCAGCTCTGGTAACGTTAAAATAACTTCATAATTAAAATTCACTTATTTTTAGCATATTTATCTGTTTCAATTCACATAAATTTACAGGCTTTTCTACATATGGTAAAATAAGTAACACGTAATAAAAATTAATAAAAAAAATAAGTAATTTATTTCATGTATGATACAAACTGTTTAATTATTAATAAATGTAACTATTTGTTGTTATCATAATTATATTATTGAATTGATTTTTAAATTTAATAACCATTTGCCTCTAAAGTCAGTTATAAGCAGTTTTTTTTTATTATTATTCTATCATCATGTAGTTTATTATGAAAGGAAAGCAACTTTTAGTACTTTCTGATTATCTGCATCCCCATAAATGTTACCGACTCATTAACAACTTTGTAAAGTGATAAAAAGCATTTGTTTGGTTACTTTTATGGCTTATATATATATATAAATATATAAAGTATAAAATATCTAATATGTAAAATATAAAATCTAGCTTTCAAATAATAAATTAATAGCCCTTTAACTTCTGTTTCATTCTAAAAATAACAGCAATAAATTTTTCTTCATGCATTTCTGATGTACATTTACCAATGAAACATGACCCCAAAATCCTGTACATTAAAGTGTCATAAGATCTGAAATGGACTTCGTATTAAAAGCTTAACTGCGTCGCAACTCTCTTTGTTCTGTCTTCCCTTCTGCTTTCATATGCTTGTATCACCTTACCATTATTTTTACTTTTCTTATTTTTGCCTTTAAAGAAGATGTAATCTGTATGAAATTGGATGGCTTTGCATAGTGCACCCACAGTGATAATATACATTATCGAAGAAATAAAATTATGTGTGGAATTTACTGTTATATGTGTTTTTCGAGTGTCATCTTGCTAACTACATAACAAAGTCTTCAAGTTATGATGCAGTCCTTTACAACGCCAATCCAACTGCAACTATCACCAAATCATCTTATTTTAATAATAACACAGTGTTATTACATCTAATGGAACAGTTTTATTACTTGGTCCTTTTTGACTTTTTGACTTTTCTGTTCAGAAATAAAAATAGAAATAAGAATTTTTTAAGAAACAATGATACTTACATATTATCCTGTCAACCTTTTCCTGTGGAATTGTAAGAGAACTATTGCTTCTTTATTAACCCTTTGATGCGTGCGATATTATTTTGTTATTTTTATAATTTTTTTAACGAAAAACTGTAGAAATTTAATATTATGATCCTAGAGAAAAATAATATATGAATTTAAAAAAATCTACTCTTGCCCATTATTCTGTGGGTGGTGGTTGCACTGTGAAACCACCGCACGTTTAGGAATTTGAAATTTACTGAAGTAGTAGGAAAAAAAAACTAACATTTCTACGTGCATATTTCTAATAAATGACGAAATTTACAAATTTTAAAAAACATGCATGTAAGAATTGCCTTATATATAATTTTTTACATTATTTTACAAAGTAAATCGTCAGAAAAAATTAAAAAATAAACATTTAAGTAATTTTTCTATAGCAGTGAAAATATAAGTACCTACATAATAAGGACATTTGGCTAAATGGATAAAAAAAAACTTAGTAAAATAAAGATAAAAAAAGACTCAGTTTTTTTTTATTATTATTATTATTTCAAAAAACAATTTTTTTTTTTTTGTGACATTGTTTAAAGCATGTTTTGTCTTTTTGGTACATGCATAGACCCACATTGCACGTTTCGTGCATGTATCTTCTATGAGGTTTCTTCCTTGTGCTACAAAATGTACACTGCCTGGATCTAAATTTCACTGGTATATGTCTAGTGTTATATAGTTTCTTTTCATCTGGCACATGAAATTTGCGTTTTTTTATGTTAATGGGGAGGGGCTTGGTCCTTTTTGACTTTGGTACGGATCATTCGTTTCCCATTCATACTTACTTTATTCGTATTTCATCCCAAAATATTCAGAAAATATTTTTAATTTAAATAAAACTTCACATGATTTCTATTTTTAATTATAGCAAAGTATATTTACATTAAATTTAAACCACAGGAAATAATTTATAAAATCACAATACTAGCTTGGGGAGCAAGTGTGTTGAGGTCAGAGAAAGGTCTCTGGAAAAGCAAGACCTTTTAACTGGGCAGGGGCGTGTATTGTTTAGTAATAAAATAACTCTGTGGTTTCAAAACCCCTTATCTATATCCGGGTAAAAATAAACATTTCTATTTGAGAAGTAAGCAAACGCCATTGTGAAGAGCAGTGGTTTCAAGGTGCGACCACCGAGCTTCAAGAGCATTGTGACACAATGCTCTAGTGGTGCAGTGGTCATGCCCTGAACCACAAAACAAATGCCTTACATATAGAGGGCTTTTTTTTTTTATAAATGCAGTTTAATTAGTGCTATTTTTTATTGTTTATGGTAGAAATCATGATGTGCGATGAATAACTTTTGAAATTTAAAGTTGCTTATATTAATAAAAGGAAGTTATTCTGTATTATTGAAAACGAATTTTAAAAGGCATCCGATTTGAAGTACTAAGACCTAAAACATGTATTATTCTGTAGTCATTTTGTGTTATTTAGAGGTAAAAGATCAGTAATCAATTGATTTTCACTCAAAAATTTCAGAAAGAAGAGGAGGAAAAAATTCGAAAATTGGTGGTTTCAGGGCGCGACCACAGTGCGTCAAAGGGTTAAATGAACAAGTTGTTGACTGGCTTCTTTTGTTGGTGCTTAATAAAAAAAGCTTTTGTTAATTGTTCATTAGGCCCTCCAGTTTAACCATGATTTTTTTTTTTTTTTTTTTTTTTTTTTTGTATGCTAAAAGTTTGAAAGGCAAATATGTGCACGTGGCACAGTGTAGAGGGAACTCTGTTATCAGTAGTATGGGGGCAGTGCTAATAAATTAAGGTCAGTTTTTAAATTAAAATGAAAATCATGCACACAAGTGCCCTGTCAATACTGTTGATGTTCATAAAAAATCATCTCGTAATTACCATTGTGGTGCAGTAGACTACATTTTAATAAACTGTTAAAATAAAATTAAACCAAAAGTCTCCAGTTCTCATTAAAACTGATTATTACTGATGATCATGATTACTAATATGATGGCATATGGCTACTAAGAATCAACTCACAAGGCTGTGAAGTTATGCTGTAAATTTAAATAATTTTTTTAAACGAATTGAAGAACACTGGTGACTGTTAAAACCATTAATCACTAGTAATGTATGAAAAAGCAGACTGGTGATTTCATTTCTCAAAATGAAATAAATAAATAAATAAATAAAGTAATCAAAAATTTCCTTAAATGGGAAAAAAAATATTTTGGTGCCCCCTTTTCCTAATTTTGAGTGATGAGATCAGCATTTTCATTTTTTTCATGAATAAGTTTTATTTGTGAGGTTTGTAAAATCTTACTTCGGGCATTTAATGAAATTGCTTATTATGGTTGTAACATTTGCAAACTATTAATGAATGCTATGTATTTATAATTTTTCTCAATTTGGTATTTTATACTTTGCTTATTATTATGTTATATGTATATTGCAGCTGTATATATGGTGGGTAGACAATCAGAATTATTGTGAGCTGACTCGGCCATGGTATGCCAAAGTTCTGCATTTCCCTTTAAATTACTTCCTTCCAGGCCATCAACAGCGTGCTGCCCAGAGCACCATTGACAATTTGTGGAATAGTGATCTCATCGAAGAGGCACAGAAGGAAACAGCGGTAAGTTCATAAAAATATAATGTCCATTATCAGTCATAATTAAAACCTAATCCATTAGAACATTTGATGTGTATATCAATTTATAAGCTATGTAATCATTCAGAGAGAATTCAGCAATTTTAAGCTTATCAAACTGTGTGATATAAACAGGGGAAGGTTTTTAATACTAGAAAGATATTAGGACATTTGAATATGATGCCAAATTTTTGTTTTTTAATTTATTTTAGTTTTTTTAAATCAAAATTAGAGGTGATAATAAGAAAAAATATATTTGGAAATAGGTTAGATTTCTGAAAGTTTTTGAAACAGAAACCATTATATAATCATAGTAGTCTATTATTATCATAATAATATGTAAAAATGAAAGTTTGTCTGGATGCTTGTTACTCAGTAACACAAATCCACTTGGCAGATTGCCTTGACACTTTTCACATAGATAATGCTCCATTTACTCCATAAAGCTGAAGTGTCTCAAATTTACATGCGTTCCTTAGGGATGAGTAATGATGTGCAAGCTGTGCTACTAGAAATGCTATGAATTTTTTATATTTAGAACAAAAGCCACACTTTTCTTCATATTTATTGGGGAGTGAAGCATGATTAGTAAAAATAACACCTAAATAATCAGCAGTATTTCAATAACAAATTATGTTACTTCTTTATTTTCTTTTGTGACTAAGTTCTCTAACTTGAATGCATACTAAGTTCATCAAAAATATCAATTCCACTGCAAGTGCCAGTGTTATTTATATTTATCAAATTTTCATTTCGTGAGGCTTCCTGTATGAATTGTTTATGTTATCAAAAAGTACAGAATCACTTTAAAAAACTCCTTTTTGAAGATAACATCTCGATATAAAATTACTGTATGCATTAAGTCTCAAAAATGAATACTCAAAAATTGAACTTAAATTGATCTGCTAAAAGAATTACAAATTAAAACCTAAATATTTACAAGATGTAATATTTAAAATGACAAATGACGCAAACAATGACAAAACTAGGCCAAAAATTAAATTACAAGTATTTGTTAAACTTTTGCAGTGGTGCTATAAAGTAAGCCATTTTTCTAAATCAGAAAAAAAGAGCAGTGATAGCATTCTGCTTAGGTTGTAATATTAGATGGCATGGAAAGCTTCAGTTGGCATAAAGATTCTAGGCTCAGTATTAGTTAATTCTGATTTAGTGGGAAAATTTTGAAAAAGAAGATCTCTGATTGGCTGCTTTAACCTTTTTTTATTTAATGTGTTTTATATATATATACACACACACTTTTGGTATTACTGACTGGAATAAAAAAGGAAGGTGCATATCTAGATGTTATACAAAATTTTGCTGTTCTACAGCTAATTGTTTTTGAATTATGGAAGATACATACATATGTAAGGATCAAAAAACTTTTTGATTATGAAAAGTCTATTTTGAATTCATTTAAAACGTTTTACAATCCATTTCAAAATAGAAAGTCCTTTATTCTGTCAATACATACAGATGTCATGTAAAAAATAGTCAAAGTAGATTTGGGATCGGTTAAAATGAATATTTCCATTGAAATAAGAAACCTGAAATTTTTTGCACTTACTGTACTTCCTTTATTTTGTACAAGTAAAAAAATGGTCATGTACTTGTTATATTAGAATTGCATATGTATGCATAAATGTAGTTTGAATGTTTAATTTGTGTACATTAAAATAATTGTGTTTTATTGTAGATCTATAAAGACGCACAAGAATGTCTGAACTTGCTGTCTCACCGGTTGGGTGATAATGAATACTTTTTTGGAAAGAAGTAAATTTTTTTACTGTCTTTATTTTCATATAATTCATTTCTGCTTTTAAAATTTTAATAGAGTTAATGCCTATAATGTATTTATATTTTTTGATTGCATTTTTAGTCCATGCTCACTTGATGCTATAGTTTTTGGATATTTGGCTCCACTTCTAAAAGCTCCATTTCCAACTGCAGCTTTACAAAATCATTTAAAAGCATGTACAAATCTTTCTCAATTTGTTCAAAGGATTCTTCAAAAATATTTTCCTTTGTCACCCGAAGGTAAATTCAATATTACTTTGATTTTTAGTTTTCTTCATAATTCCTTGTATAGTTTTATAATTTCATAACAAATAACAAAATTTTATTCTACCGAAATTTAGGGAAACTCAACACTATTTTTTAGATAATTCACAAATGCTCAATGTCTCCACTTTTGCTAACAACAGATTTCTGTGTAATAATCTGTTTGTCCTACATGTATGCCAGTATACAATAATTGACCAAAGCCTCAGACTCATATAATGATACGATGCTAAATATTTTATGCATTAGAAGGGAGTAGACGAACAAAACACCTTGATTTTCCACACCACTACTTTCCCAATGAAATGATATGATATTGAATCTGAAGACTGGCACGACTACCTTATTAATGTATCGTCTTGTTCTGTTCATCCTAACCACTTTAAACTAAAACTGTATAATAATAAAAAACTGAATGGGTACATTTTCTAAAATTTTGCACTGAGAATATTGTTATCTTAAATTTATTGCTTTCATATAAAGTAATTTTTTTTTATGAATTTTATATTAAAATGTTGCTCAAGGGGCTATTTCTAAATGTTAATTATTAGCACTTTTTCTTTCTGTCTGTCTCTGTGTGTATGTTCACAATCTGATTTGTAACTTGAAGTGCATTTTTAATATTTATAATAAATGTGCATTATCTAAAAACAAAATAAGATCCTGGTGGTCATTTCATGACTATTTATAAAATTTTATAAATATGATCATATCTAGAAGATTATGCATGGAATCACACATAGAAACTGCAATACACATAAAAGCATATTCCTGTATTACATATATGCATATTAGTATACTCCTGTGTTGAAAAAAACATACTGAAACAGTTATATAACATCTATGAATCCTGTATAAATACTTAAATTTGGCTGTCAGACAGCATATTCTGTTATGTGAAGTGGCATCATTAAAAATGTAGCTCATGCAGTAGTACAAATGAGCTTAAAGTAGCATAGGAATATTTCTTTCTTAAAGTAGCATAGGAATTGCATTGTTAGATTTTGAGTAAAGAAGCTTGAGTTTCTTTGATCCAAAACATATCCTTATCTTACTATAGTCAGTTTATGAACAAGGTGCTTCACTCTCTGATCCCACTACTCTCTCTTTGGCAGTTCAGACTGTCTGAAATAGAACTAATAAACAAATGTATGCTGTTGCATAAGTGGTTAATTGCAAAGTTGTGGGAAATAGAAAAAAAAAATTAACTCTCTCAAAATATGGAAAATTTACAGATTTTTTTTATTTTAATAACAATTTCTATCATATTATCTGTATTCCTCTCATAATTCTTTTTTTAATCCTTTTTTTTATTATTCAAAGAAATATATTTGCTCCCCCTATCCACCATTTTAGAAATTGAAGCTTTGAAAAGAAAGGAACAAACAGAAGCTGAAGAAAAACGAGAATTTCCACATAAATGGAGAGATATAATCCTCTCCGGGCTTTTTGCTGCTGCAGTAATGTTTGCATATGCTGCATCAACTATGAAGGTATATTATTATTATTACATTATAATATTATACAAATACTGAGCTAATTATTTCCTGAGAAAATATTGCATCCTGCGTATGCCAGGGTATTTTAAAACTGAGACTGAGAATTTCTCAGTTTCCCACTGTTCCCAGTTCTATTTGTTTATTAATTATGCAGCTGGAAGTGTGTCTGCTTCCTAATTCAGGTACTATTTTTATTAATTTTTTTTATTTTATATTATCTTTATCCTTAAATTTGAAGTCATATCACATTAGTATCCTTATCCTTAAAAGACTGACAAAGCTGTAACTTGTTTGGAAGAATTTGCACATAAGCTATTTCAGCATTCTGAAAATTTTGAAAACTTGAAACTTAGTATTAGAGCTTTCTTTATCCCGAATCACGGAATTAAGACATCATTTTAAATATTTTCATAACACATTTCTTGCAATAAATAGAAGTTTTACAAAGACTGAATATTTCTGACAAAAAAATTTCCAACCATAAAACACAAATGCAATAAACTCTGCTGTTTCTGCTATCTTTTTAAGCTAAACACCTCTAAAACTAATAAGTATTTCTGGGAATAAATAAATATTGGAATCGAATGTAACTTCCTCCAAGATAGGTGCCAATACGGGAGACCAAATTCATCTGAAATCATTGATGTTTGTTCTAATCTAATTCATCAGTGGAATAGGAAATGTACTTCCTTAAATGAGGAAATTTTCTGGACAATTTTAGCTGAAATATAAATGAAGGAACAACTGATTAACGGGGGAAAAAAATATTATTTTCTCATTTTCTGACATAATAAAACTAATTATTCTAGCATTTGTTTATTTCACAAATTAAAAATGGCTTGATTTTGTAGTATTACTTATTTTATTTTATTTCCTTACTGCTTTGAAAAAAGCTTGTGCACTTGTATTCAATGAGAAATGTTAATTTTTATTCTTCAGCTTATATGTACATTTAACAATTTTCTTATCTGGTATGCTTGGCTGTTTATATAGCAATTTTGGCACTTCTTTGTTACAGTACCTTTGTCAATGCACACAAGCAATTCATTCAGTGTCTTAGTATAGATAATTTATTTAATATACACGTACAGAAGCAGTTTAATACAGTACAAGTTTTCTGAATCTAATTCTTTCTCCCTTTTGCAAAAAAATTCAGACAAGAAAAATTGCTGGTGGTCCAGAGGTTCGAATATAACATAATTCTAGTTATTAGACATCCAGATTTATGTCTTTGTACTCTAGTAAGCATATTAAATATTTAACAATGATGATAAAAAATAATAAATTGATGAAATATTTAGCAAGAAAATTTTCATTAGCAGAAGAAAAAAACTATGTGTACATGTGAAATATAAACTATATGCATATGTGCTTATGGGTAATAGTAGACAAATTGCATGGTAATTGTAGACAATTACCATTGACCATAAATAGTTCGTTAATGAATTATTTGTATGAATAACTGCTTGTTCCTGACTGAAACTGAAATGTGCTAATTGCCATTTCTCATCAAGATAGCTGCAGCATAGAATTACTGCATTTTTAATTTGAGAATACAGTACAAAGTCAAAAATATAGATGTCCAATATCCAGATTACCCTACCACCAGCATTTTTTTTTTTTTTTTTTTTTTTTTTTTTTTCTCCCTCAGAAAGAAAGATTTTGAGTGTGGCATACACTTAGTTCTTTATGCATGTGCAATAGACATTTTTTCATGATAAAGCAGGCAAAATGTCTTGATTCTTAGTTTCACTTTGGGCACTAAATAAAACATCTCCATGTTGAACAAACACATTCATTTATAAGCATAAATTTGTATGATTAATAATTTAGCTTTGTAGTTGCCTTTTTGCTTGGCAGACATATGAAACCAAAACATTCGATCATGACTGATTTCACATTTTAGAATATCATATAACCCATATGCCAACCTGATAGATAATTTTGTTATAATTTTCTTGCTTTTATCTTCATGACTGTCAACTCAGAACAGCTTGAGAAACGATTCATGCAGCGATGTTTAAAACAGTTTTTGTTCTAAATATCAGTAATGGTATACTAAACAGCATGGTAAACTTCTATGCTGACAATTAAGGCTGGCCTTGAGTACAGACATCAGCCAATTGCATGGTGAGTTGTAAAGTTTGTTGACAACGAGAAATTTCTAAAAATTGATTTTATAAATGATATTTGTAAACTAGTAGTGCTGTCTGAATTAAGAATAATTGATTTATTGCCATGAAGTGTATGTGTTTGCCATCTATAATCTATTCTAATAATAAGACATTGTTAACAGTTGAAAACTGGCCAAAATGCATGGTGGAAAATTACCACTTCAAATATATGTGGGAATTTTCAAACCAATATTTTGTTGGGACTCAGATAAGCCTTAAGCATATGCAGGAAATGCACATGAATGTAATAAATAGCAAAACTAATGTAATTAAGGCTTAAATTCCTCAGCAAAGATGGGAGCAAATTAATTTTATCGAAACAATATATCTTTAGTTGCAAATCTCATAATACACTGCCAATAGTGTATAGTGGATGCTGAGCTTTATCATGATAGCTGTGAATTTGGAGGTTTTTGGATATAGCAAACAAAAATCAAAGTTTTCTAATTAATGGAATTTGGAAAGAAATGTGGAGAAGTTGTAAAAAATGAAGATGATACAACAGAAGTATTCCCTTATGATGAGGATGCACTAGTAATCAATTAACTAATAGATGGCGAACTTTCCAGTGGATTTGTAGTACGGTTCCAAATCCAGAAAATATTGCTACCAATAGTAAAGAAAAGCAAAGAGGTTGTTAAGAATGAAAAAATTTCGATAGGCCATATAGTGGAATTTTCGACAGGTTAATTACAGGGTTTTAACTTTGTAACTGAACAAAAAATTATGTGTGTCTATAAAATCAAACATAATGTATTAGCACAAAAATGGGAAACAGTATAAATAACTTGCATTGAAAGAAATGTTTAATAAAGCAAACAAATAAATATTGAGCTCATAAATTTTGATTCCTGTAAGGTTTTAAATGCCTCATTATTTCGTAAATGACTGTTTCAGATTTTTAATTTTATTATTTCTATATGCGATCTTGCAAAATTAGACCTGATGATCTATGATGCATTAAAATTCTATTGTTAAGTGATGCAATGCACATATGTGTAATAAAGCCATCTAGACCTACAAAAGCTTCACTGGAGAATGTAACGATAACATGCCAAAGGTCACAGCATCATATGACTTTTGATAATTCATCATTTTCCCATTACTAGGATTTGTTTCTTATGTTTTTAAGGTTGCTGATTTCAATTTATGGTCAAGTTATGTCAGAATGAACCCTATAATTGCAGCCATCGGTCACTCATAACTGGAAGAGTAATTTGTCTAACTAATCCATCCATATATTGAAGTCTATTGGTGGTTTAATGGTTTAAGATCCGTAAACAGTGGTAATTCATTCCAAAATTAAATGGGCTGGCTGCTAATAACTTTTTTAATGATTTTCTGAAAATGTAACTTAAATATCTATTTCCATGTAAGAAACCCTCCCTGCATGTAGTATCTTTCTTATAATAGTTAACACTTGAGTATTTGCTATGATAAATCATTTAATCAACCTAATTACGTGCATAAATGCTACTCACTGTCAGATATTGGCAAAATTGATGGCTGCTTTTCTTTTCTTTATTTCATGGGGAAAAAAACTTAAACCTTTGTGCATTGCTATGATTTAATTATTAATGCAAATAAGGTTTTTACAAAAAGTAACAAGGTGCGCAAGCAGCTTGGCAGGTTATATAAATGCACTTTTTCCTTAAAGTTATTTTTCATGCTTTGGCAACACTTTATTTTTAATTTATATTTGAATATTAAAAAAGAAAACTGGAAATGCATCCTGTTTTCGTACTGAGGTGGATTTCATGTTTTATTTTGATTACTGATTCCTTTTGTACATTTTTTTTTTTTTTTTTTTTTTAATTGGAGAACCAACTGAATGAATGAAATTCAGATAGAGTCTTGCAATACTAGGGAAATTCTTCTGGTATTGTTTGTAAATAATACGTTTCACCTAATATTTTTATTGCCTTTGAAGTATACTGCATGCTACAGTATTTATGTTGATAATATGTTTTAGTGCAAAATATCATTTACCAAGGTTATTTTGTGATATATTTTGACTGAAACTGTAGAGAGTTGTTTTGTATCTATCTCTTCATAACAATTATACTTTTTAATATAATTATACAATTTATAGTTCATGTTTTCGGAATCATTTTTTGCACTACTGGGGCATTTCAATTTTAGTAACGCTACAATTTTTAAAAGTTTTTAACAGGTAATATGAAAGTTATGATTATTACATTTACAAAATGTATGAACTGCAAACATTTGTCTGCTATTAACTAGTTTAATTTTGCGATAAATGTTTTTACTACAGTGATACTGTCTTGTAACTAATTTTTTAACTAATCTTAAACTCTTGACATCCCTTTGTTATTCTGGAAATGTTGGAAAATTTTAATTTCTTGCATATCAGAAATATACAATTTTACTTTCAAATGAACATTTTTACCATTTGCATTTAAATCTTATACACTGATATGATAATGCATGGAACATGTTTTTAAAAATAACTGCATATGTCTATCAGGATTAATGTTCCTATATTTAATCTGCAGAAGTAAATTTCTGTTCTCCTTATAAAAGTAGAAATAGATTTTGCTGCACCTAACATTTTTCAGTGCTCATGAAAGAATATACTTGTGTATTTACAAATGTGTTCCTTTATCCTTAGAAAAAAAAGGAACTAGGTATTTCTGACTAATATAGAAGCTGATTGTAGAGTTTGAGTTGTAGGTAAGTGAATGGAGCTATATGATTATCTTGTCAGGTTGTAGATAAGGTGTTGGAGCTGCATGCAGCTAGCGGGCTGTAAAAGATGCAAGAAAATGAATAATGCATGTGTTTGTAGTTGGAGTTATA